ATACTCATTAGAAGAATATGAGCATGATCTAGCTAATGGTCAAGAAGGAATTTAAAAGTATCATTATAAACATTTACAAGTATCTTTATGGTGCTATTTAATGCTTGCCAAAATTCTGTTCCTGTTCCATCTGCAAAAACTCTTTGTGTACCTCTCTGAAGTGCTGATGTGGTGCACTGGCATATATTGCCTCATTTGGCCACTGACTATATTACAGGATCAATCCTGCTTATGAATTAAGGACTTGATCTCCAAGAGATGATGTAGTTTAGCACAAATGCCTGTTTGGAGTGTTGAGGTTTGTGTAGTGCCCTAGTTTTTCAAGATGGTTTCTTGTCATTTTCTTTCCTTTATTTTTCTTTCTAGTGAACTAGTTCTTTGTCTGCTCTCAGTATTGGGCAGAGCATCCACAGTATGGTCTTTCCCAGATATTAAGTCTTCTTGTCTGAATCTCCCCCTACTCTTTTGTCTACAAAATTCCAGCATAATTTCTCTATAGATTAATTCATTAGTATTCTATATTTTATCATTTTTGTCTCTCAAAGAATCTTTACCGCTTGCCTTGCAGCTTATGTTCCTTCCCTGTCATTTTTTTATATTTTCATCTTTTAAATTTTAAAATTTCTCTAATATTTGAACCATAACTTTCTGAGGGAGATGATATTCCATCCATCTTCACTCTCTGGTTTTACTTCTCATGCATCAAGGATTTAATGTACAAAATAGATATGATAAAACTAGACATGATATAAAGACTGTGCTTACCATATTTTTTAAACTGTATGTAATTTAGTTCTTCTATTTTATTCCTCAACATCTCACCTTTTATTTCTTCAGGAATAGTAAATTTATTCCCTAGATTAAACAACTCCTTTTTTCCACTTTCCTTGTGACAACATTATGAAATAACAGGCTAACATTTGTCAGAAGTGAAACATAAGTATTAAATCCATCAAACTAATAATTTTGTTTAAGAAAATTATTTTTCCAACAAGCTTTACATTATCTATGACATGGATTTTGAAAAATAGTACTCAATCAGTATTTACATGCAGTTGTGCATTTTACAGCTGTAAATTTCAACAGTATTGGTCCAGAGTCCAGTTTTTTTTAAATCCTTAATCTTACTTTAGTTTCTAATAATATAGTGAACTTACAATTGGTATATCCTGAGTCACAGCCTGGCAAGCTGGAGTTAGAAATTCAAGCTCTGCTTCGGCCTGGTCTGTATTCACTACACATTCAATCTCATAGACCCGAACATCGTGGGAGGACTTCAGAAGAATCTGACACCGATAGCAACCAGCCTGGCCAGGAGTGAATTTTATAGGAAGCTCAACTGTATCCCTTCCATCTTAAAAAAAAAAATAAAAAAAATTGCAATGTTGTAAAGCTTTTCAGAAACACTGAATTCACAATCAGAACCTGAAGAGAATTCCAATAAACTGTAGGACAGTCTCCCCAGCAGTGCACGCAACAATTTAAAATAAGCAATAGAATATTAGGATTGTTGCCATATAAGCAGAGACAGATTTTTGTTTTTCAAAAAAAGGATATATTTAAGCATCTAAACAATAATTTCTATTGTGTTTAGAAGTGAAAGAAGCATTTTAAAAGATTTCTTAAATCTAGTAGAAAAGTTTAACGTATGAATTTCTGTGAATATAATTTAGAGCAGTTACTATACTTTTTTCAAAAGCTACCATCAGATATAGCAGAGAAAACGCAGTATATTTGGCTAAGAGTAGTCCCAACAGTGACTGAAGTTCTGTTAAATATAGTAGTTCTCATTACAGCTAAGTAAACTTTTTCTGTGTGGAATTCTGGATCGAAAGCCCAAGTTTCCAAAATGTCAGGGGTGGCCAAGATGAAACAGAATCATGAAAAGTTCTATTTCCCAATCCACAACACAAAAATTCCCCACAGTAATCTCTAGAGCAAGGAAGAAGCAACACAAATGCTGTCCATCTTTGCCCAGAGCCAGGTCTAACAAGTCTCCCTGAAAGGCTTACAGAAAAGATCAGACTCTTTCACAGTATTTCAAGCAGCTTGGGAGCCCTTGGATGACACTTCCCAAAGGGCAAAGGATGGTACATGAGGAACTCCAGCAACCAGCCATTTAAAAGTTCCCCATTCCCAAGAGTCTCCAAGAAAGATGTAAAAACACATGAAGAGTGCAGCTGGAAAACCTTCGCTCTGCTTTTATATGTAACAAAGACTATTTCTAGTCACTGTTTCCTGATGTTAGAAACCCACACCTAAAGCTGGAAAAGATAATGGGATACGTCAGAGACAATGTAATGACACAGCAGAGCCACACAGAAAAAACTCTAAACAATTCACTTCTCCCTGAGGGGGATTTTCTCTTTTTCTAGCTTAATTTAGCTCGTTTTCTGATGATATGTATAACAAAATCTGTTCTAATATAACCAATGACAACTACTGAGTTTTGAAAGTGCAATCAGTCTTCGTTTGCAATGCTGCTCATTCTGTTCCACAAAATGCTGCTCCTCATGGATTCAGGTCTCACTTCTCTGAAAATCAACACCAAATTGGAGTTTCCTTGTGGCCTTATGTCATCACTACTTCAGTTTTGCCACAAAAATATCTCAAGTTCAAGAGACAAATCATACAGAATGACATTATTAATCTTCCAACATTACTAGACTATCAAAAAGATTATAAATTGCACCTCAGGTTTAACCCTCACCGAAATAATTAGTTTGTTCTCTCTTAAAGACAAGATTAATGGGCTGGCAATTTTTGAATTATTACTATTTTTTTTCTATTTTATCATTAAATTATTGTCCCCATGGGCTCTGCTCCACAAAAGTGACCTGAGTTTGTCACTTAGGCAAGGAATGAAACTGTCTTTTCTACTCTTCAATTCATTAGCACAGTCCCTATCTACAAGAATTTTTTTAGGATGTTGAAGCAAAATATTTACTTAATATTTAAAGTACATGTTTTAAATACTTGCGTTTCAAGATGTTTAAACATGTATTTGAAGAAAGATAATACAGTGTACTAGAAGCTCCAAAAATAGTTCTGCAAGAGTTTTACTTTCTTGCATTAAATGGAAATGGTAATTGCTAAAAATTAGAGTTACCTTCCCTTAGTTTTGCCCATATTTGAAACACACACTCTCAATCAGAATTGCCTCCTTTAGAAAATGTAAAAAGAAAATCCATGAAAAGTACATTCTATATAATATTTATTTTGGGATTACTTTGGGAAAACTATTTGTTTCTAATGCATTTAAAAACACATTGAAGACTAGGTCAGTTAATACTTGAAATATTATGCTCACTTGCATATTTACTCAATGCTATTGTGTTTCATTGTGAGACAGTTGTCAAAACAAGGGGATTTGCAAAACCAAAACTTTGTGTGAAATACCACACATTCTTGGAAAGCTAAATTACAGCACATGTGTTGGTCATGTTCTCTGGCAACTGCCTGGCAGCCTGTGCCATTTACTTAGTGCAAAAGACAATTTGATCACTACCTGGAATTAACAAAGTCTGTGTCTTCTGGTTCTTAAAAATCTTAGAACTCATCATTTGAGATCTGCCTGATCTGAATTCAGTTAGTCCTCTAACTACGTTAACCAGCAAACAGCATCTTTCAAAGAAAAAATGACAACTGTTTTGACATTGTAAGAAAAAACATATTCTGTAAGTTAGTAGTAATGACACTTAGTAGAGCAATCACTGTTTACACCTATTACAATTGTGGAAGGAGATGTTTGTGTAGCACATTCAGGAGCCAGTGAGGAGCTCTGTGACATACAATAAAGTAGAACAAAGATTTCCTTGGGCTTGGTTGTTTAATAATCATTGTCCCTTGGTATTTCTGAAGAATACTCATGGGCACTTTAGAAACAAGCAGTCATTATACCAGTGGGCAGCTGGGATGCTGCCAAGTCAAGAGTTGGCTTAGTTCAGCTGTAGATGTGTTGTAATGCTCAGGTGCCTTTTAGTCACCTCATGCATAGTCCCCACGGAAAAGGATTAGCCACATTATAAAGAACTACACTGAGAAAACAGAGTAATAATTCAAAGACACAACAGTCAGACTGCAGGTTTATCTAAAACATACACCCAAAAAAATTCAAAATTGATTCTCCATGACTGAGAGGAAGTGGTTGAGAGAAGATCTTCAAAAAATAAGCAACTGAGAGGAAAAGAAGTAAGACTAAACAAAATTTCCTACAAGCAGAGAGCACAGAACTATTAAAAAGACTGCACTGAGTGCATAAGAAAGTATTACATGGAGAGAGAATCAAAGACCAAGATATTTACATCACTTACTGCAAAATAGTAAGTTAATGTAAAATTAGTCATGACGACTTTATGGCAAAAAGATATAACAAGAGCTATCTAGAGACTCCTGTGGTGTAGTTCCTTTCTTTTTGCAATCTAGAATTCTCTGAGGAAAGAAGTTTTCTTTTTTAAAAGAGATAAAAAGAGTAAGTCAGTAGTTGTTTTAACAGAAGCTACAAAGAAGTCAGAACAATCTGAATAAATTAACGGTAAGAACAATTATCAGAAAAGTAGAAAAATTCTAACAATTCTTGATAGTTCAGTAGAGAAAGCTTTTTCATCACTCACTGGGGGGGAAAGGGAAAAAGAAATAAAAAAAGAAGAGGGCTCCTTCTGAATATTCTTTGCAAGATAACAGCAGGGAGCCAGCATTGTCAAATCCTGTAGTAAGAGGCAACAGAATTGTAATATTTACTTCTGGTACTGAATCTAAATTGGATAGCAAGGTGAAACAACAGTTTTTCAGTGAACATGCATTGTGAGATTTTATTTCTTCCTGGACAATTTTAATGAGAAATAGTACAACCTAGCCATCAAAACCCATATGTTTTTTGTTTTATTTTCATGCCTAGGTTTTTTATGTCTATTTTTACAAACTAGAAAAAAACACCCTTAACCATATGGCATGACAAAAAGCATTCTCAGTGCACATTTGCCTTAGAAAAGTTCAATGATGTACATGATTATAAAAAACAGGAAGTGCATACCAGGACATACTTGCTTAGGTGCATATCCATTTGAAAATTAAAAGCTACCATTATCTTAGAGAAATTTATTATTACTAATGGAATATATTTGTGTATTTATCATTACATGTTTACAGCCAGTGGCATTTGGTTATTATGACAAAGTATGAAATAAAGTATTGATACTCTGGTACTGATGTGCTGCTGCAATGCTTTTGAACAGCAATTGCTATTAATCATTTAATCCCATTTATTTTCTTTCCTCTAAAATACTTCTGGTCCAAGGGTATTGCTATCAGGTTTCTGCTAATAGTACAAGAGGTAATCTAAAGCCCTTTCAAGGCCGGAGATTGCAAAAAAAAAAAAAAAAGGAGTCTGGAAAAAAAAGAAAAACAAATAAACAGGTATCCCTTCTTATAAAGTACTTGGATTCTGTAGTATGAACTGCCACATAGCAGGTTTGAGCTAATATAGGGACAACAAAGACGGACAAAAGAGAGAATGATCATTTTCTGGATCTATTTAGGAAAACCTTAAAATATAATATTTTCTTGGCAATAGAATCCAACCAAAATCATAATCTTTAAGACTATTCTTACCTGTTTTATGAGATGAAAGGATTTTTGCAGATGAAGCTTTCAAGTCAACTCTGCTTGATGCCAATACTGGAATAGACAACTTTTTAGGAACTTCAAAGAATTCTTCCATGCTCACTTCTACACTGTAATCCACATACTTCAGCTCTGGGGGGTATTTACGAGGTTTCAGAAGTTCATGTCTCTGCAAGTAAAAGAATAATTTATACACTGTTCATATGAACAATCATCTCATGATACTTTCAGCTTAAGAAATGCAAACTTATACAGGCTTAATTCCAAAATCAAATTGCTAAACAAGCAAGTTATGCAGCAATTCTTCAGTGATCCTTCCAAATATAAACTGTCTTGTATAATCTGTTTAGATATCATGCATCTGAAATGTTTATTTAAGAAAAATGCATCTTGGAATTTACAGTCAGACCACCTTCTACCCAGAAACCACTCAACTAGCCTTTATAGGTGTTCAGGAAAGGCAAGAAAAGAGGAGAAAAAACATGAAAAGAAAAATACTTTTTTCTATCAGTTGTAGAAAGATGTTCCTTCTTTTACTTTATAAAGTTTCTGAGTAATAGAAAGCAAGAAAAGGAAATTATTTTTTCCATATTCTGCAAGGGATAACTATATAGTTAGCTCAGCTAACTTTGACATTTTAATGTTGACAATATATTTTAGAAATTAGAGCATTTAGAATTAATTTTAGGGACGAGTAAGCTCCCCCTCTTGGTAAATGCATTGCTAATCAACAGCATGAAATACATTAGTAAAGGATTAGCACAGTATGTTAAGGCAAGCTCAATATAAGCATCTGAACCTCTTAATGAACTAAATTTGACTCCTGTAGGATAATGTTACAAAAATAATGCCATTATTTAATACACTACTCGCTCAAAGTTGCCATTTTCAATCCATTAACAGCATAATTGCAATGCTCAAGAGTAATTGGGAGTGTACAAATTTAAAACCTGAAAGTAGTCATGTCTTTTGTACAGACAAATCTTGGAATTAATGACTGTTGTGAATTATCATGAAGCAAATCTAGGGAGGAGAGATATACAGAAATATTCAGGTTTTGCTAAGAAAACTAGTCTACTAGTTTAAAAAAATGCCAGGACAGCAGGTATTGCAGTACATATTTCAATGGGCCAAGGAATGCAAATCCATTGTGGGAATTCCAAAACACAATTTAAAAGGAAAGGCAATTATTCCTAAAGATTATTATTGTTCTGCTTTTGGCTGGGGCAGAGCTAATTCTCTTCACAGTGGCTTGGATGGAGCTGGACTTCCATCCTGCCATTGCTTTGTTTTGACCATTAATCTATCCATCCAAAGTGTCAATATTATGTTCAGCACGAAGTACATCTGGACTTTGGGAACCTGTTAGGGTTTAGCTGCTAATATGATTTTTTTGACATAATAAATATAGAAACAAATAACTAGTCAAGATTCTTGTTCTATGAAGAACTGGGCAGATGTATTTGACTAAAAAATACTCATCGAAACAAATTAACAGTTCTTCTGGATGAAGCTTTGAGCATCCTGACCTAGTGAGGAGGTGTCCCTGCCCAGGGCAGGGGTTGGGACTGGATGATCTGTAAGGTCCATTCCAACCCTTAAATTCTGTGATTTTATGTTTCTGTGATTCTTTGATTACGGTGTTTACACAACTTGTATGGTGCAAATGTAATTTACAGAAAGAACAAATGTTATCCGAGTTGAAAACCTGAACTCACTATTTAATAGTTTCTATCATACAAGATTGGAAGTTCATTGAAATTACACTCTGCTACACACACACAAAATGAATTAAAAGCTCAATAGGTGCCAATAATTCAGTTGCTATATTAATAGCAAGTTCTACTAGTTTCTTATAGGACTAACTTTTCAGTGGGAAAAGTAAATTTTATTTTCACATGTAAAGGGAAGTTCCTAACCAAAAGGATTATATAAGTTTACTGGTTTAAATTTAACTTGATCTCATGCATAATCAAATATGAATTTATAACAACATGATTTTGGGAACTAGATTATTTTCCAGCCCTGAAAGAAAAATCCAACATGATTACGTAGTTTTGGTAAATCTTAATTGACAAAAAAAAATTGTAAGATGACCTTTGGTGAGCACTGAATACATTTAAATTATAATTATTTGGAACAGATATGATTTTGAAAATTACTGAAGTACTTTATATTAAGATTCTTGTTCATGTTATCTCATCTTTAAAGACATGTTAGGGAAAAAAAGCCAGTTGGTTAGTACTGTATAGCCTATGAATACTTCAAATATTTCCTGGCATCTTGTAAAGAAGCAAAGGATGAAAATATTTTTAATGAGAGACCTAGGGGAAAAGGAAGCTCCTGCAAACACAGACAAGACAAACTCTGTTGCCTCATAGGATAACATTTCCAAGAGGAAATGTCAACACAGTTCAGATAAATGTTGCAGTTGCTCTCATTTTAAATATTTTTCAGGGCAGTGAGAGTTAAATGGAATTTATTATTTTTTAACTCTCATTATTAATGCAGGTCTAAGGCTGCTCTGTTGAAATAAGACAAATTCCAGATCCTTTACTTCATCAGTGTGATGGGTTATGATATTCCAAGTGTAAAAGTGTCATTTCCAGTTAAGAATAATATTTGCATTCAGTTCCCAGGATTAATCACTTCTTTAGAATAATTTTTCAGAATAGGAATGGAGGGTATATAAAGCTTCAGGATTAAACTTGGTATTTTTCAAAGAGGGATTGATTTTCCAAGACATTTTCTTAGATGCACCATCTGCACTCTCCATGTGTAAAGGATGCAGATTCTATTACAGAGTGCTGAGGTACCTTTCTCTTTCCTTGCATATTGCTGTTTTCCAAATCCAAATTTAGCCTCATTTCTTCCTTCCAGGAATTAACATCTACAACTGTTACTCATGAATAAAGAATTTTATTATCCCAGTCTCTCAAAATCCCTGTGATCAATCGTGTTTGCCATGTCCCTAAATCCCATATCAAAAGGGAAGTGATGTAATATAAAAGACATTGGTCCCACTTGTAAGTTCAACAAATTGAAATCTGACCACAGAGTCTTTTGTGAAAAGTTCATTCCCACTCTAACCTATCTAATGTAACATTTTAATTACAGTTTATTCTTCTCTGCTCAAGGACACCATGATCCTTTCTCCAAAAGAAACCAAGAACGAACCTGACCTGTATTTTAAAAAGCAAATTGTTTAAACTGACATTTCCATAATCATGTGGAAGAACACAAAAAGTCCTTCTTGATTCCTGGGGCATTATAAAGAGCACAAACTTTGAAGATCAGAGCTGGACAGGCAGAGTGTGAGACTTTGCCACGTCAGCCAAAGAGTGGAAGCCACAGCCTCAATGCACAACAGGATCTCTGCTCATTTCTCATCCATCAGAGCTAAAATTCATCAATAAGATAAAAACACTCCATGTCTCTTAGCCACACGGACAGCAGGACAGAAAGAAAATGTACATGACAACTGGAATATGGTAAATTCTCATTACTCTTATTTCCTTCTTTCTTTTATTCACTTCTCTCTATTTACCACAATTGGCAACTTCAGCTATACAAGTTATGCTCTTCTTCCACATTCTCTTGCCTTTCTTTGCTTTGTTATCTATTTACCCTTTTCCTTCCCATGTTATCTGTGTTCACCTCAACTTCCTACAGCTTTCTCTGATTCATCAGTTACAATTTGTTTGTAATTATTCAAAATAATGCCAGGCCCAACCATAACAGTGGCTAAGGGTTCCATCCTATATTACCTTTACTACTACCACCTCAATTTTTTAGGAGGAATTAAATTCATTAAATACTCAGGAAGTAAGAAAGTAGCACAATTCCGTGGCAGAGAAATAATTCCTTTGCATTTACTAATTCTAATCCTTAAAATAACCAAAATAGATCTTTGTTTCTCACACTAGGGAAAAGAAGCAGTAAAAACCCAGGACAAAAACCGCCAGGCCTTTCAACCATGCTCATAGATCTCAAGTGAAAAATACAGCACAAGGTACTGATGATGAATATCCAATTTGGCTCCAAAAACATAGCCTACCTTTAATACTACTTTCTATGTGATTTGAGCAAACATGAGTAAAATGCACAGTTTAGAAAGCATGGAAAGTATGCAATTATCTAGTTAGTTATTCTTCAATTTGACAGGCAAAAAATGGACCAAGAAAGATTAATGTAAGGGCATTTTCCCTTCTGTCCATCTATTATATAACACAGTTATCCCTGAGGAACACTGTAGAAATTTGGAATAAAAATCAAAAAGAGAGTAACATATTTCTGGAATTTCTAGATTTCTCTCTAACCTACAACATATGTTGCAAAGGATTTAATGAGTCTAAGTAATTCATTAAACCCTGGGAGCTGTGGTTGGGCTTGTTTTTTTGGGTGAGGGTAGGGAGGACACGGGTGGAGGATTTAGACAACCTGAAACCACAGTTCAGCTCCAAAATTTGATTGCAGAACACCAACTCCCCTCAAAAAACTTTCTTCAATTAATGACACCAGAATTTCTGTAATATCACTTTGACACAGAAAGTAACTAAGAATTTCAGACAAAATGTTATTAGGAACACATTTCATAATGTAATATGTATAGTGGTTCACCATACTGAGATAATTTAATGTATAAAGTCTTTTCTACATCAGTATAGAGCAGAATTTCTCCATTTTATTTCTCATAAGAAAATACATTTCTGTACATGGAGCAAAATACTTCTTTCTGTGATCATTTATTCAGTGTTAACACCCACTATTATGTATTTCATAATGTTATTAAGCTAATTATTTCCCACCCTGCTATGATACATGTGATTTTAGAACTCGTATCTTAGCATACCTAGTGGTACAGTGTTCCCATTATGTTCTGCCTTGATTCCACTCACAGTTTCAGAGCAGTTAGGCCTTTCATCAAGTATTTGCTAAGTGATTGTGACATTAACAGATTTCAATTATGAAAAGTGTATAAAATGTTACCACAGCAGTGGATTAACTGTAATCCCAAAGGAAAATATTTGAGTCTAAATTATATGATTACAATTCCTGTCCCACTGCAAATGCACAACATAATAAAACTACTGGTAATTTTTCCTCATTTAATTTATTTTATATTACTTTTTCAATTTCTCTATAAACAAAAGGCATAAATTTAGCAACTTCAAATCACCAGGGGAAATTCTTTCCCTCTCAGCACTGGGAACCATACTGAGGGAACTGTCTAACTGGAAAACTGGAGTATCACTGCTGCCTAGCAATCTGTCTGAGGCCAGGCAAACCAGATTCACAAGGGAAATTAAAGCCCAGAGTGTGGCTGTTATCCACAGAAGCTCACATTGAATTCTACATGAGAAAAAGGTTTGCTTATTTGGCAATATTGCTGTCATAAATTAATCCACAAGTACTAACTAAATGGACTACCTTGGGATGATTTTTCTTCTAGATGTTGAAATCTTGGGAAAATATCTCTAGCTTGGAGCAATATATAAATAGGTAGCTATGTCATATGAGGAAGATCTATGATTTTTCAAAAATTGGATTGATACCAAGACAAGGAAAATTTTTCCTACTCCTTGATTTATCCTCAAAGTCTTTGAAACAATCTATTGAAAAATACTGGTTTAGAACTTTCTTTTAAAAAAATTCCTAAGGAAGGATAGTAGTACAGATATCTATACATAGAATATGAAAGCTTTTTTAATCAATATGGGCTATTTCAGAAGCTAACTGAAGTAAAATGTTAGGGTTTTTTTTAACTACAGCCATGATTTCTTAAAGGAAGCTCTTAATAGCACAGAATGACAAAGCATCTTCAGGATGAACATGTTAAATATTGCAGTATTTGATGGGAATTGGGATTAGTTAACTCTCAGGTTACAGAATGTATAAAGAAAAACCCCAGAACTTCACACTATTTCCTGAGACTTAAAACACTCAATTCTGCCAATCAAGAACAACAAAATAATTGCAGGCACAGATGCCCATGTTCCTCACCTCCACTGTGGACAGCCCTAACAAGGCAGTGGCAACTCGAACACTGCTGCCCTGCAGAGTCCCTGTGATGGATCTTCTCTCGTATTCGGTCGCTGACATCTGCTGCTCTGCAGCAATTGCCAGAGCTCTCTCTCTTGATTCATTGACCAGTGGAATCCTCAGGTTTTCTTCAAGAATCTGAGCAAGTCCACATTTCAAATATAACACTGGCTTTACTGTACTTGGACCTGTTAAAAAACCCAAAAAACAGCACACCCCACATTTGTCAGCTGCTCGTGTAACTGCATAGACTCTTTAAAATCTCCTATTTCCAAAGGTAGAATATAAAATTCCTTCAGTGTTCTTCTACGCTATTAATCTAGTACATGTCATTTATTCCATAGAATACTTATTATATTTTTTAACATAAAGGGGGAATAAAAATTAACACACTGAAATGCAACCCACAAGTTCCTTCTGGACGTTAATAAAAAAATCCCAGATTTCTATGATTCTGTGGTTCTCGTTACCTTCTAATGTGCTGCTCGTATGCAAAACATTTGGACTGTGCATTGGAGGCAATTTCGAAGGCAAAGGTATATCACCTCTTCCCTCTATCAGGTATACAAATTCTCCAATCTGAAACACAAGAACATCACACCCACACAATTCAGAAAGTAGCTCATGCAGAACAGAAGGCAAAACATTCAAAGTAAAAGCAAATATATCCCAGTAACACCTAAGATCTATTATGAAATACTTTACATATTCAGAAGATTTGTATTTTGAAACTATGCCTAAGTAAAAGAAAAGGATCATTTCAAACCATGCTGTGATAATAAAATACCTTTAATTGATTATATTAAATTTGAAAAGTCAATAAATTTCAACAAGCTGAATCCTTTCTGTTTCCTCATATAATTTCATTGAATGAGGGTTCCCTGACCCATAAATACAGCCAAAAAAAAGTGAATTCTAATAATGTGCTACAGCTACATAGAATTTAAACACATTCATGAGCTACCTTCATTGCTCTTGAATACTTAGAACCTTTTTTTAAAAATGTTTACAACAGTTTGGAGCCAAAAACATTCCTCTAGAAAGTAAAAAAGGCAGGTTAGCAACATGTAAAAGTTCTCCATTAAAAAGAAATAAAGTTAACAAATCTTACTTATGTCATTAAAAATAATGAAAAACCTACAGAAGCTTGAAAGTAAATACAAACATGACCTAGAACAAAGAGAGAGAGTAATTTGTCATAGAGGAAAGGATAAATTAACTAGCAGAGAAATAACACTTGGAATTAGAGATGAAATGAAAGAAATAAGGTGCAAATGAAAGGTAGAACAGGATATTTAGAAAAAACATAACTCACTAAAAGTACTCCAAATTAAGAAAGCCACAATCAGAACAACCCAAACTAAAAAGGTGTCTAACCTAGACATGTATGTGAGCTATGTAGGAGATTTAATAGATATATCACTATGGTTTTGATAACTTCTTTTTGTTCACCACAAATTTTTTGGGGCAATTTTAGCTTCTACTAATTGCAAGATAAAGGATCAAATGCCTTTGCAACAACTGATGTAATTTGCATGGAAGGCCATCTCTTTATTTCCATAAACCATATTATGTAAAACTCTGACCTAAAAACATCTTTTATTCTTCATTACAGACATAAAGGAAACAATAGTTTTATATAATACAGTGCATCTGGCAACTAATGCAATATTTTCCATTTAATATTGTTCAATAACATAAAACTCTCCTTTTTGTCTTTCCTTTATTTGTAGTTTCATCAGATATTTATGTTAAGGGGGAAAACACTGCAATTCTATTTCTGACCCAGCAGAAGGAAAGCTATTCAACTCTGATGGTATTTTCTCCCCTTCCTCGACTCAAGAGTTCAGACAAATCTTCCTTGAGAAGGATTAAAGAAACCTCCAGCAAAATTGGATTCCCACACACAAACTAATAGCCACTCCTGGGAACCAATTTAGACAGGAATTATTCCTGTTTGACACAGTGATCTGGCTCCATAAGGACTGGCAACAAGCTCTCAGCACATACCACTAATTTCATGAAGGTGCTGGTTGCTAGGATGCCATTCTACTATCAATTGCTTTTCTTGTCATTGCTGACATCAATCTGCTTATCGTTAGGGACAAACCTCCCCAATTTGCTCTTTGCTTTGAAGAATTCTTGCTTTTTGATCACCATAGAATGCAAATCCTGGGTGAGGATTTCTGCTGAGGTTTTTCCTGATGCTTTGGAAGAGAATGGGTATTTCAGTGCCAGTTTGAGAGTTTCACTAGCATACCCATGGTTTTAATGCTTCATATTTCCATTTTCCATCAGCTGTAAACAGTACAGCATCAACATTGTATAGGTTTGTTGTCAATGAAAATAGTTACCAGAATAGCTGTTGAACTACTATTGGCTATTTATCTAATTCCACTGCTAACTGATATTTCAGAAGAAGGTATAGCTACTTCATAGGAATTTGCAGTTGCCCATGCAAGTCAGTAATTAAGATCCATGGATAGTAAAGTGTTCTCTCAATAAACGATTTAATTTTGCATCAGATATTTAGCTGTGAAAGTCTGGACTGGCACTCTTAAACTATGATTTAATACATTATTGCCATTGAAATAAAGGCTGTTCACATTTGAATTGACTCACAGAAACAGAGATATAGGAAAAAAAACCAACAACCTGGTCTAGTGAAAGGTGTCCCTGCCCATGGGGCAAAAGAACACTAGGCACTAGCAGAATTTTCTTGTTCTACAGTAGTGAAAAACATGGAAGCTGAGAACGTGCAGGGGGAAAAGAATGTCATTTAGGTTTGGATGTGTTGTTACAACTCATGAAAACGTGGCAGAGAGAATGGCAGATGTAACTGCACAGAAGGAAAGCTGGAACACAGAGGCAGTATCATGAAAGCAAGAAGAAGAACACAAGCCTTGAGATCAGCCACACATAAAAGACCAGAAAAACAAGAGAGTTTTGTAAAACATTGACAGCTAGAGATGAAACACAGCAGACAGGTTAAAGAGTTGAAAAGATGGACTGAAGACGCAGAAATGAGATTGTGACTACTGAGATAAAGGATTACAGGAACACCAAAGAAGCAGCACTGCAAGATTTTAAGTTCTGAAATCTGAACAAAACCAGGTCTTGGTAACTTGATGAAATCAGTTTCAATAAAGAATGTATGGCAAAACTCAGGCTACGTGACTTGAGAGGAACTGAAAGGTTGTGGAGTCAATATTCGTGCACAGTCTGTTCAAAAGTTTTACTTGCGTTGCTGCAAGAACTGAATGGAACTTGGATTGGCAGAAAAATGTAAAAAGAGACAGAGCAAGAAAAATTATTATGCTACTTTGACAGTATACCCTAAATACAGGGAGAAGTACAGTAAAGACTTTAGCCTTTCCCTGCCTATGTCTCATAAAAAGCATTATTCTTGTTACCACATCAAGACAAATTATCTAAATTTCTTTTTTACTGAAGCTCAGTTGCCTAGAAAAGCCACTAAAATAGCATTCCTTGCAGTTATATTTTTATTTATAATGATTTTACAGTGAAAAGTTGCTTGCAGCATTTCATGTAATTCTAATTATGTGGAGATAAAAGTGCAGTAAACTTTGGTTTAAATTTCTTAGCTGAAGACTGTAAACTTATGTAAAGCTCTGACCAACCTCTTCAGCCACTTTTTCCTCCATGAATTATAGGGATATTTTATTTTCATTGAAAAAAACTAAATAACAAAGCAAAACCAAAAAAAAAACCAAACCAAAAAAACCAAACAATAAAATAAAATGCCCTTTCCACAGCATTGTTCTTGTTTACCTTATTGACACACAACTGACAAACATATCCTGACCCTTACCTGCCTGGGCTACCCCAGGACAAACACTCACAGAACATCCATTCTGCTCTTACCTGTTCATTAACCAGAATGACAGTGCAGTAACGTTTTTCCAGATGAAAGGGAAGGAAGTGAATATCTAAACCTGCAGAACTTCTCCCTTCCAAGAACAGTTTTTCCACTGGACTGAAGAACTCTTGCATGAGACTGGGTTGGTCAGCTGCTAAAATAAGTTTAAATGGATGTTTAGACAAAAGAGCACAGGTTATAAAACAGTGTAGCTGCATGAGTTTAAATATAAGGATACTCTACACAGATTTCTGTAGTAATCAGTATTTAGGGCACACCAGTAATTAGCAATCAGTAGTTACAGTTATATAAATGTGCTGCAATATTGAATTCTGTATTATATAAATACACTTTGATAACTGCATGTGTTCTTATTCTGTGCACTGAAACAAAACTGGGGAAAACAGACAATTCTCAGCATCAAAAATTCTGAAAGGAGGTACAGCCTATGAGCAAAGGTCTGCTCACAGCAGAAAGAAGAGCACAGTTAACTGCTATTTAAGCAAAGACTCTCTCAGTAACAGTAACTATGGGATGCTATAGTCTGAAATTCTCTAGGATGGACAAAACCTAAATACTGACAAGTTTGTTTTCTTGGTGCTGCTTTCACAAAAGCATTATGCTGAGAAAGAATCTTAGGTTCCAATCTGGAAGATTTTGACTACTTTCTCAATGCATGTTTTTCACCTGCTAAGCATATTTTGGCAATGCAGCACCAGACTTTTGTTCCATTTTTGCTGGTTAGCTTCCTAGGAAGGTCTGCAGACTTAAGAATATATGTGAAAGTGAAAGCAACAGAAATGAGTGAGATCACATAAGAAATCTGTGCCAAACTCTGGCTAAAAAAATAGAAGAGAGATGGGAATCCACAACTTTCTGGGCAACCTGTTCCAGTGTCTCACCACCCTCACAGGAATAATTTCCTTCTAATATTTGATATCAATCTTCCCTCCTTCAGTTTAAAGCCATTAGCCCTTGTTTTACCCTTGTAAAAAGTACCTCTCCAGTTGTCCTGCAGGCTCCCTTTGGGTACTGAAATGCCACAATCAGGTCACTGGAGCCTTCACTTCTCCAGGCTGATTTTCTGAGTGTGATGCACAACTTTAGGCCAATGTTTTTTGCAGTGAGACATGAGGTACTAGACAGAGATACTTACAGCAATGTAAGTTGTTCTCTTTGTTTGAATCTTCAGGCACTGCACCATATTTTGTGTTTAAAATGTTATTTTCTAAACTAAAAGGAAGAAAAAAAACAAAAATAAAAATAACACTCTAAAGTTGGGCATCTCTTTTACTAATAAATACTGAAAAAAACCATACTGTTTATTCTGTATTTTACAGATAAGTATCTCACATTAAAAATATACAATTTTTGTCTAAAACATCATCTCTTTCAATGCTTTATCTTTGAATCTGAATGCCAAGTTGTGCTTGCAAAAACGGAGACCACAGCAGAAGAATCACTGTAAAAGTGATAAATAGCTCCAAAGCTGTATGAAAAAAACAACACAATAAGAATAGTACATGGAAGTATATTACATTTCTTCACTGGTGCAAACCATACATTGAACAAGTCCTGGTTTTAGAGCTGAACAACAGAGAAACTCATTACACTGATTTAACATGGTATTGAACTTCTCTCTATACATATTTTTTTCTTACATCAATGAACAAAAGCATCTGGAGGTAAGTGATGGTGAACAAAACTGTGTTGTAGAAGACATGAACACTGCCTCATTCTTCCAGAACAAAAAGAAATAGCATCTCATTCAATAATAAAACTAAAAGAAATCAAGTTCAGGAAGGTATAAGAAGCATGGTAATACTGAGAGTCTGCTTCAATACATCCCCTTTCAATACACAGGGAAAGGAGGAGATGGATTAGGCAGAATAGCTTAAAGCTGCCATAAAATAAGTCTCCACAGACTGTTTGCTGCACCTGGGACCTGCAAATCCCCAGTATCAACAGAGAATGGGGCTGAATGGCTCGAGAGCAGCACTGTGCAGGAGGGTTGGGGCATGGTGATGGATGAAAATACACACACAGGCTGGCAATGTGAACTTGCAGCCCAGAACACTGACTGCATCCTGGGCAGGTGGGCAGCAGGGCAAGGAGGGATTCTGCCCCTCCACTCTGCTCTGGTCACACCTCACCCAGAGAGCTGCATCCAGCTCTCCAGTCCCCACGGCAGGAAAGACATGGACCTGCCAGAGCAGGGGCACGAAATCACTCAGACGGCTGGAGTATGAGGATGCAGGAGGAGCTGTGAGGCCACTGGAACCTGCATGGATCACTAAGCTGTCAGGACCAAATCATGCATGTGACATTAATCACCTAGACACAATTACCTGGAGGGTAAGCACTGATTTTATGGTAGTTTTACACTTATGGAGCACTTGGAGCAATGAGCCCCATTCTGCTGAAGGCATTGTCTGGAGTTATCAAATGAATAAAAATGATTGCAGGCACAATTTTCTTACTGATCAATTATAAAGGTTTTCAAGACAAATTTCAGAATTTTGCTCAAGAAAAAAAAACTTCTGGCCAAAAAAAGCACCTAAGGTATCACAGATGACAGAAACATCTGAAAATACAGCAAATGGGCACTGGTAATTTCTAAAGACTTAAAACACCCTGAAATCAATTCCACCAAGAGCAAGTCCAGGATTTGTAACTAAATTACTCTTATCATAATGATTTATTTTCTCTGGGCAAATTAAGCTGAAACATGCAGCATGATTAAAAATCTTTTCCTATATCAACAATTATTATTCAATCATTCAATTTAGTGCAGATCGTAGTATAAATTACATTTTAGAAAATAATTTCTTGTTAAAATATGTGTACAACTTGTCATGATATTGAATGGGGCATTACTTTTCTGGTTTTAGACTTTTCTGGGGTTTTTTCACAATTTTTTTTGAAAAGAAATTGGAAGTTGCTCTGCATGTCATGGCATGGCATGGACCATCCCTATGGTTACAATTCAATCTACAGCACTTATGAGGTAGTAGCTTGTGATATTTCCCAATAACCCTTGAATAAGTGTCTCAGGATTTTGAATGCTTACATGAGCTTTAAAAATTGCAAGACTGAAATTTGGAAAATACTTTAAATTATTAAATAAAGACTTCATGAATTACTCAAGAAGGTTTTTGGGTTTTTTTAATCTGTTTACAGATTATTTTGCAGTACTGTCCTGGTTTCAGCAGGGATAAAGTTCTTTTTTTTCTTAGCAGTTGGCACAGTGCTGTGCTTTGGACTTCAGATGAGAGCAGTGTTGCTAACACACTGATGTTTTGGCTGTTGCTTATTCTGTCAAGGACTTTTGAGATTCCCATGCTATGATATTTCCACGTGCTAACCTGTAATTCTTCACAACAGGTGGCACCCAACTATACACAAATATGCAATACTAATAGAATTGTATAATTAAATATATTAGAATTGCCAACTGTCACTTAGAACTTACCTGAATGTTTGCTCTTGCTTTACTTGCCTAGCTTGATTCACTTGCTTTGGCTGCATTAAGCAGGTTCTGGATTCCAACAAAATGACCCTGGAGTATGACAAGTACACATAATCACTGCATTTTTAACTGGCAGAATGAAGATGAAATGCACTTTATTCTAACTCTTATACGCACACCTGGTAAAGAAGCTCATTATTTTCAATGGAAGATACTTTAAAAGTACTTGTCATGGTTTAACCTCAGTTTTCTGGAAAAGAGCTACTTCCTTGGTAGCAAAAATGCATTCCCTAGTGTTATTTGCAAGCAAACAATACATGCCCTGATGAAACACAAGATTGTTCAAAACACAGAAACATGAAACAAAGGACCTTTTATTTTAGATTACTGGTTCAAATGTCACCTAAATTGATAATTACTTCAGGTAGTTGTCAAGTAGCTTTAGAATGATATATGTAAAACCAAATTACTTTATCACTTCATCAATTATTTCCAAGAGAGTTATCCAAATCATGGGACTAATTACAGGCAACCTCACAGACTTCGAAAAAACAAGCCAGAAGCTAAATAAACTCCTATGATTCCCACACACAGGGCTTATGCCAGAGGACATGGCTGGGGCAGTGCAAACAGTCCTGTGGCAGGATTGCTATTGTCTTTACTACTTGAATATACTACTCTTGTTCTCTGGAGCAAAGAGGAATTTAATTTGCAGCTTATGCGACATGTATATTCATGTTGCATAAAAATAAAAAGTTAACAATGTTGTGGAAGATGGTTCTTGCAAAGAAATGAACGAGATGAGCCAATGCTTAGTTCTACAGACTAAAGACAAAATATGGAGTGAGTTTACATAAACAGATTTTAAAGGGACACAGAATCCTTTCTTTTATACTAAGGAAAGCAACATTCGTAACTCTGCAGTTGCTGCATCTATGATGAATGCAAATTAAAAATTAGATTAACTGATAGTGATGCAAACCCCAAGGCAAAGATTGTTTTTTTCTTTTGCATACTTAATAATTTAAACAGCAGGATAAAACAGATTGGGGAAAAAAATAAGCAACTATTAATTAACATGGCTTGTTTCTCTTTGTAATTTGGCTGGACCTCAGCCAAACACAAAATACAAGCAAAGTTCATGAACTCCATTTGATTAAAGCTCCAGCTTTATTGCTGACACTGAGACAGATTTCAATTAAGGCTTATTTATCTTCTTTATTCATTATGACAGCTTCCACTTCATACAGCTTGTAACAATCTGGTTAATGTAAATCCCTAGAATTTAACCTCCAGGTTTTACAGTTTTTAAGGAGAAAATTATGGAAAAGAGTAGATATAACAGCATAATCAGTAAAGATTTGTCTCTACAGCTTTGTCTACCTGAATATGCCTTCAGTTCCGAAGGGATTAGTCACATTTAGGCTAACTTTCTTCAGCTCATAACATGGGGATTTGCACTTTATTTTACCCTAGAGGAGAACAAAACATTACATCAATATGAAGAAGTTGTAAAAACACATTCATGATAATACATAAACAAACAGGCCAATATTACAAGGAAGAGTAGAACCATGTGTTTGACCACTACAAAATTACCATCATTTAAATGCTAGGCTTTGTTGCCAGCAAAGAACAGTTAATGCCTATTTCTTTTCAAACATGCATTAAACTTCACAGCATTTTAAAAATGCTCCCAAATAACACAATGTCAAGAATCAAGTCATCTTTTTTCCTTCTTATCTTTACGTTCTCTCTATTTTACCTCTTTCCCCAGCGTTTGTTCCCACCATCAGTGTCTATTGTCTACAGAATCACATAAACACCAAGTTAGAAGTTCTCTATCCAGATCTGCTCAATGCATGTGGATAACAAATGCTGGAGCACATCTCTATTAGCTCTGACTATTTCTGGGATATATCCTAAGACTACAGACTCTCTACAGTTAAAAAGCACAAAAAACCTGCAGAAATATCTAAGAAAAGTTTGCAATCCATCTACGCCTGACAACTGAGATCATTAGGCTGAAGTATTTCATCACCTCCAGAATGGAATTTCCAATAACATTCATATGCTGAAATAGTTCCAGACTTATTTTCAGAGCAATCAGTGCAAATTTTTACAATCTATTCAGGACATAAATGTGATTGATACCCTTAGATATTCCTCTAGGGTTTTTCTTGTATGTACTAATATAGGCTAATATAGGAAACCTGAAAATTCATAGGTCAAAGGCTAATGCTGATGGTAACTCATTTTCATTCTTACCTCAGGTCACTTTTGTTTGCTATAACGCACAGAATATTTAATATTAATCATACACACACAACTTACAGCAGGCTCAATATGTTTGACTTCAGATTTCAGAGAGAATGTCAGTGTGGCACCATCTATTCCCCCGACTCTCTTGGAGCTCAGTAGCAGCACAGCTTCAGCAGGGCGCAGGAAACGGCTCCGGAATGCCACAGTCACACACTCCTGTTTCCTGGGGGAACAAAACACAGAACTGTGACTCAGGAATTACTCAGACAGGAAATTTCAGGAGTGCATCTGAGAGTCTTTGTAAGGGAAGGGGCCTAGAAAAGAAAGTCATTTGTTTCTTCTGAAATGGTTGTAGTGCAATCTTCTGCCTAGAGCACCTTAAAACATTCTAATAAAAGAAATATATGGATAAAGAACAATATCGAATCCTTTTTGGTTTTTAAGAGCTCAGCATCTAGCTTACTTTTTCTTCCCACGCATGCTAGCACAGGAAGTTCTTTTTCCTGACAGCATCATCCTATGTTAACAACTGATTCCATTTATCCTCCTCTATTTGAATGGGCTTTTCTGAGTTAAACAGTCAGACATCCTGTTACACATGTTGTGAGGTAGATATAGATGTTCTTAATCAAATTCTATTTTATGTAAGCACAGAGCCTCCAATCCATTATAACTCACCATTGAGAGCTTGGGATCTGCAACAGGTAGTCTAATGAAAACATTGGCACAGTAAAGCCAACAAAGTGATAAGAATAATTACAAAAGGAACAAGACAACAACACAGATCACCATTAGGCCTCCAGATCACACCCAAAGGGCTCAATGTTAGTTACTGTTTGCATCTCCTAACCTCAGACAGAATAGCATCAAGAACCTACAGACTCTGACCCATCAGCAGTTCTTGGAGCTCTCAAACACTTGCAGCAGAATGCTAAGGACAGCTATTGATTACCAAGAACCTATTTTACATTAAGTGATCATGATCACAAGTAAGATTACATTATGACAAATTCTGCAGAGGTCACCAGTGCATGACTGGCATTTCCACAAGATTTTATTTCTAGGCAATTTTTCAAATATTTCTTGCTATGTGTCATGCCAAGCAGCTCAGCAACAAGGTTGTGCACATTTACCTCTGTCTTGATTTTGTTTTGTGGTTGGGTTTTTTTTAAAAGGGTGAAGTTAAAAACAGCCCTGGTATTGACCTTTCAGAGAAACACATGATATTTTCAAGTATTCCATTTTTATGATCATTCTTGCTCGAAGTAATTGCAAAGAAAATGGAATAAAATCAGCCTCACAGCTTGCTGAAAACATAGTATTATTTGTTGTCCCCTTTGCATTTATTTATAATAGGCATGTAATTTAATACTGAAATATTGATCATCCTTAAAGAGCACTGTATTTATCTTGAGTCTTCTTGAATTTGACGATCTATATTTGAAAATATTTTGCTTCTTCACAGTTTATTTTCAGACCAATACTGACCTTTGTTTTCCTTTTTCCAAACTCTAATCCTGTAACAGATAAACTTATAAACTTAACTGACAGTCAGAGCCTCTTATCTTCACTAGTTAAACAGGGATTAGTGAAATTTCTGTATCCAGTCATAAAGTTACACTGCACATCCTTAGATGGCTTTAATAACTACATTTCCATTTGGTGGGGGAGGGAGGATGGGGCAAAAAGAAGCATTTGACACTACTATCAAACCTGTGTCATGGTCTCATCTTTCCCAGACATGCTTCAATCATGTGTAAGAAAAACATCTCTGAAATCTCAGAAGAAAGGAACACCTGCTCATGCTTCCCCAATGCATTGATGTGGAAAATGTGAATTAAGTTTAGAGGAGATATTTCTAATTTAGTTTGGAAAAAAAACCCACACAATGTAAGGGCAGCAGATCCAAACTGATAATTAAAGCTTTCAATATTTTGGGAAAAAAATATATTGGACACAGAGGATTTCCCTTATGATCTGAAGGGTTATATTCTACTTTTAAAGCTCTGTTGAGATAAACTGCAAGTATCCACTGAAATATTACTCTAGATTTGTTCTAGGTTAGGGAGCAAAAATCTGACCTTACACTGACTATTTTGCTGTGTTTATAGTTGAACACATTTCTAGTGTTCTACCACTCTTAAATTAATAGGTTTATATTTCTGCAATGCTACATTTAATAATAATACTGAAAAAAAATCATTACTTACTGAGGGGCAATGGTGACAGTGTTTCCTTTAGGTATTGAGAAATCATCAGCATCTCTTCCCAGAAGAACAGCATTGTACATCAACCTTTTACTGCTTGGGTTCTTCAGACACACCTGTGGCAACAACAGCAAATTCAGCCTAATTATTTTCAATTTGCAGAGCATAAAAGATGTGTTCCACAGCTAGGTTTCAAAATACAAACTAAGGATATCACAAAATAGTCACAAAAGTACTTCAAATAACCAGGTACATCATTTTTTGCCAAAAGAGTATGGATTTCCCACAGACTATCCAACCTCAATTTTTCAGTGCTCTGTCTGCATCATCCACTGCACTCCTATGCCTGTTAACCTCTTATTCCTCTCTTTCAGCTCAGATTTACCAAATTTGTAGATTAGTTTTTTCTGTGCTTACAAGCACAGGGAAAAACAACAGTAGAAGTGACAAGAGCAAAGAGAAAAAAAAAAAGATGCATTCTTTCATCTTCTATATTTAGTAGGCTAATGACATGAAATCTATTAATTCTTTGTTGCAGTACATACATAATATAAACAGCTATATACATACCCTGTTTTAACCTTGCACTACTAGTACAAGTGTAAATTCAATGGTATTAGTACCTGTTTAACCACAGTTGCATGGAGAGCACCTGTAAATTCTATAGTGTTCTTGGGCAGGTAGTGAGGGAGACTTTCATACAGGTAGACACACAAAATAAGCATCATGACAGGATTTGGATCACAGATATCAGTGGCCTAATAATGAAAACAAACAGAAAAACAAATTTAAAATAACCAGATATTCAGTTCAAATTTTGCCTGTCTAGTTTAGGGATATGAAGATGAAGAACAGAAGAAGTTCAAGGTAATTCTTCTTATAGAAATATTTGCAATCTACTTGTAAAAACTGGATTATGCCCATAACTAATATGAATATAAATCCTGTCAGTTCCCAAAAAAAAGCATCCTGATTATTGAAGACCATTGACATGCTCTGGTGATAAACCTAGGCTAAAAATTCAACCCACCTTTTTTTTTTCCCCATGGTTCTGCAGAAACAGATGTTTATTTCATTAAAATGAAGCATAACAGGAAAAAGCAAGTAAAATTTACTGTCTGGGAAAACATATGTCCTTACTATCTTTAAAAAATGAACAAATTTTAAGTCTTTCAATTTACTCTGTAAAATACCATTCCAAATATTTCTACATAGAGTTTTGCAACTGTTTATGGAGACAACATCACCATCCAACCAACAACTAGATAGTTACTTTTAGTGCAGATACTAAATTGCTTTACATCACTTGCATTGATCTGAAGTTTCCCTGTAACTCTCCATAGGTTCTTAGATAGTGTTTACCCCTTGTAATTCTTCAGACTAATTTCATATACTCTTCATGCACTGATGTAATCATATGTCTCATCTAGTATGTCTATTTAATTCAATCACCACTGTTAAAATCTGAACTTTAAGATGCATTTACTATGCAAAGTTATAAAGCTTCTTCACTACTAAAAGCTTTAAACCTGAAGTCTGAAAGTATTCTGATTTTTTCCATTCACTTATCTCAGTAATGGCTATTGATTGTTAACAAATTATTCCAATATAGCTGTGGTTTTATGCCTCTACTCTTCACCTTTCCTGCATTTTCATTTAAGATAGCAAAGATGCCAGAGCAGATTATCTGTTGAAGCCTAACTTTCTTTTGCCACCTACTTCTTTCTACATATTTCCACTTAGATCAGAATTTATTCCCTCAAAAATATTATTCTATTTTATCCTGTGCTGAATTCATAACACTATGTTTGTGACATTCACCTACTACTCTAGGAACTAAATTTAAAAAAAATAAATTTAGTGTACTTCTTAACAATATTCATGATTACACAGATGCACATAAGTGTCACCAAGGATTCATATAACCTTTTCACTACTTCTTTTTATGTTTTAGTGCATGATATTTGTTCTCAAATATATTTCTCTAAATTGTCTTCCAGTGTTAAAAATGAATTCCCCTCGTGTTTTCATTGTGTGATTTACGATGCTAAAACATGAAATGAATTCATCTTATGTTCAGTTAGTTGTATATATGTGATTCTACAAAGCAAGGAATTATGGAAATGACTTGCAATTAAGGATATTTATATGAAGCAGTATTTTGGTTGCTCTCATACAGCAGCACATCATGAAACCAAACTGTTCCCTTAAAATCTCACCTTAATTTGATGTACAGTACTACTATACAAAGTAAAACAGCAAAAATAAAATGAACATATTTAAGAGCTGTTAATATAAAATCATTTACCTTGATGCCTATAGCCAGACCAACAGCTTGCATTGCATTCACAAGTATCAAACAGTTGTGCAGGAACTGTTCATGAGTCCTTGGACTAGTGTACATCCTTACAAAGTGAGTAGCAATCTAGAGAAGACAGAGAAATCAAACTCTAGTCTTCCACAAAGCAAAATTATTATTTTTGTATTTTTGCTTCTTCAGCAATCCCTAAGATCTAAATTTTGAACTGAAATTCCCTATACTTGGTAAAAAGAAAATTTAATACTGAAATGATCTCCCATGACCTGCTAAATGTTGGGGCTGGTTTTGTCTTTTTAAAAACTACATAGGCCAAGAATTGCTGATGAGGAGAATTCCCTGTCAGTCCTTCCCTATCTGGCAGTCACACTCATATCATCTGAGCTGGGACTGAAGAAATGGCAGCAGGAGCTCCAGTAATCCTACACATGCCCCACTGGACTCCCTACACCCCTCACACCTCTGGGGTCTTCCTGCCTGCCCTGAATGTATTCCCCAACATTGCAAAGGAAAATCAGGCCTGAGAAAAGCCACTTATGTTAATAAACTGTATAAAACTTGCACAAAATCGAGAAAAGTCCTTACCAGATATGGACAATAAGCTGCCACTTGTGCTGCCAATACCAGACCATCTAGAAGATCTCGGTCAAAATTCACTATCCATCTCATTGGTGGTACTTCACCTGATTAAAAACCAAAGATTAATGAGACTCTTCTCCCTGAGATGCCTCATTATGCTCTAGACAGACATGACAACCACTTGAAATCATCAAGTAGAGGAAAGAACAGAAAAAGGAAACATCCGTTCACATATAGAATTTCCCAGGCATGTTTCTATTCCAGAGCCACTGCTGAAAACATGAACAATCTCACCTAGAATATTGCAGCTATTATTCAAACACTCTGCTGCTGCACAGAAGAGTATTCATCACATCAGAATGGAAAGCAAGTAAGCTAAACTTAACCTCATAGACTGAAACCTAAATACATACACTTTTTATTTTTATAGGCCTAACATCAATAGGGCTAATAAAACCCTGGTGGATTCACCATCCCTGGAGGTTTTTCAGATAAGACCAGATGAGGCATTTAGTGCCATGGTCTAGTAACCATGGTAGGGCTGGACTTGATGATCTTTCAGGTCTCTTCCAACCAGGTTGATTCTATGATTCTATGAAGGAATGTGTAAAAGTTGTAAAGTTTAAGCACACAAAAAGGAAAAGGTTATTGAGTTTCTTTAAGGTCATGTTCAAGTATTTGGCACAAATGCAATCTAAATGAAAACTAACATCTTAATTCCTGCAGCACAGATCACCACGTTTACAACTCTGTTGTAAAGGCCAATGCCTCACAAGGTTAGATAATTTTTTGCATTCGGAATATTTTATTAAAATAAAACTGATTACTAAGAAATGAGATGTAGTTTTTCATTTCTTATTTGAAGCATCCATCTCTTAAATATTTAAAACAGCATTTAAATGGCACTTTATTTTTAAGCATTATGACAAACCATAGGAAGAAAACAGCCATTTGAAAACTCTCAGCTTGAAATATTCCCCAAACCAGTTACTGATATTCCAGTAAGAAAATGCTTTCAATCACTGTCTATACACAAACACCAGCACTTCACTCTCTAGATAATACACTGCTTTTGAAGAATGAACACACAGAAGCTGATCCTTTTTTCAGCTGAGCAATCTGGTCACAAATATTCAAGTACTGAGTCATGACTGCTCTGTGGGATAATTTGCAGTTTCTTCCAACTTCTACGGCAAAGATACTTACTGTTCTTTCATTTTCATTTGTTTCTATTACTGTCTCAGGTCCAAGCTCTCAAAGGTAGGAAACACTTTGGATTTCAGCCACCAGAAAGGTTTACAGATAGACTGGGATCATGTTTTCTCATGTAGGACAAATGATATAGGTTCAATATCACTATTGCACTTTTTAAAATTTCACTATCACACTTAAAAAATTCACTTCAACCTACAACAAACTCCAGTACTATATTCTAAGCAAAATCTGTCTTTCATTATTCAACAAAATAGATATTTATAAATTACAAATGCCTCATTATATAAAACATGTTCTATTATATATTAGTTATGTTAATAGTCACACTGTTCTTCAACTTTTTCAAGCAAAAAAAATCTCAAAGGTTAAGGATACTTGATAACTCCAGATTAGAAGGTTCCAAAAATGAAGTCTGACTGGATATATAACATCTCCCTGTTATCTGTGACAGAACATAGTTCTTAACATCTCAACATCTAAATTGGAACAGCATCAATTTTAACTAAATTCAGACCTTGATTTTACCAATATCTACAGTAGGAGACAATTTTATCCCATCTCCTTGGTAAGCTGCTTGCCGTTATTTAAAAAATATTTGATGTAGTCACTGCAAAAACAAACACTTCATAAATAGCAGAATACATTTTAGAAGCTCAGTTTATTCCTAAACAGTCAGTCTTTCTCATATAAATCCATCATTTTATTGATCACAGTTAGGAGCTATAAAAATCAATAAACTGTCTTATTTTCTTATTAATAGAATTCAGACTCCCTCTCAGCACACAATATCAAGATTTTTAATAAATCACCATTTTCACATTTTTATTTTTAACTTCTTAAGATTAATTGTTTCTGCTTTATTAGGTTCAATATTGAACTGTTCTTCTGCTTAGTCATCTAGATTGACTTGCTCCGCCTGGTTATGGAAACTCCTTAAACCACACACTTGGATCAAAAAATAAACTGTATTGTTTTCATAGAATCATAGAATTTGAGGGTTGGAATGGACCTTACAGATCATCTAGTCCCAACCCCTGCCCTGGGCAGGGACATCTCCCACTAGACCAGGATGCTCAAGGCTCATCCAGCCTGGATTGAACACCACCAGGGTTGGGGCAGTCACCACATCCCTGGGCAACCTGGGACAGTAAAAACCTTTTTCTAATATCTAACCTAAACTTCCTTTCCTTCAATTTGAACTCATTTCCCCTTGTCCTGTCACTGCAGTTCCTAACACAGAGTCCCTCTCCAGCTCCTTGTAACCCCTTGAGATATTGAAAAGTTTCTATGAGGTCCCCATAGTTTTATCCATGAGTTTTATCGGAGCATAAATGAAAAACCCACAAAGTGGAATATTTTCCCATTTTAACTAATTAATTCCTTTTATAAGCATTTTTGTTGTTTTGTTCTTTTTCAGTTAATCCTTCTACTATCAATCAACCTGCTTAAACACTTGCGGGTAAATTACTCAGAAAACATAATGTATTTTGCCTAATTACATTAAATCTAGCAGAACATCTGCCAGATAACCACTCTACAACGATTAAGTTTTTAAATATAATTAGTCAACTTTAGTAGAAATAAACAATGGAAAACAGAAGTATTACTCAGGATACCTCATTTCCCTCTAAGCATGTAAATATATTGAATTTCATTTTTATTGGCACTTCTTGCAAAAAAATAAAATTACTAGTGGATCTTTAGGTTAAAGAGATTCTCAGCCCACATCATGATGAAAACCTGATGATGGGTGTTGTAGGACAAAAAGAGCTTAAAACAGGAATGCTAACAGGCAGCAGATTATTCTGTGTGGTTGGGGAGAAGGAGGAGAGGAAATGGTCCAAAATTTAACTTCTGAATTTTGAGACAGATTCCTGCTTGCTGCATCTCATAGGGGATGGTTGCAAATTTTGAAAACACCAAGACTAAAATGGCATTTTCTGAATTCTCCCATTAATGAAGAGGAGACAGAAGTCCCAGCCAGGCTGATGATGAGCTGTGCTCTGCACACAGACTAAACTGGGAAAACTGGGACTTGGAGTTATCAGAAGAATAAAAGGCCAAGAAGAAGAATCCCCAAAAGACACATTCTCAACAAGAAGTCGTGGTCTTGAAGAGACACCAGGGGACTGGAAAGAAGGCAATATAGTTCCTAAGTGGAGGAAAGATCTTGAATGTGGGAGAATATCCTGAAGGTCAGAGACATTCATGGAGACAAATGTCAACAGATGTCCAGGGACTTTGGAGAGTGACACGAGATTGGTGTCTATGAGTGGCACAGCATGAATTGACATGACTTTTCACTTCTGTTCACCAGCAGCAGCTCCCCTGGCACAGAGGGGATTTGAGACCTCGTGGACACAGTGCTGTGTGAAGCAAATGAGTGTCTGAAATTATCAGACAGGGTAAGAGATGGTTCTACAGGAAACCTCAGTATCCTGACCCATCACAGAGTGTTTTGGACTCCGTCTCACCCATGACAAAAGGTGAAAATACTTCATAAAAGAAAATAATCAAGCAGGATTAACTTGGAGTGGATGTTCAGTCACTTATGTAGTGCTCTCAGACATTTGCTATGGTTATGAAAACCTAAAAATATACTGCAAGAGACTTCTGTAAATGGTCAAAAACAAGAGTATATGTTAGTATATTTCATAGATGAAGGTATTCTTTAGCATCAGTACCACAAAATAAAACAAAGAATCGCAACAACCCAAACAGACACCAAAAAAACCCAAACAAACAAACAAAACCCAAACCAAACAAAATAAAACCAAAGCAAAACCAAAAACAAAACAAAACCAGTACAAACAGGTTGGCAAGCCAAAGGCAAGATTTTCTTTCTGACAGGACACTGTTTAGCCCTCGCCAACATACCACTGCACTTACAGAACTCTTCCACCACAAATGCCACATTACTTTGTGTGGGGGAAAAAAATGACCATGTAAAATTACCCTTAACCTTAAAAGAAAAATTCCAATAGAAAAAGAACTTGTAATACTGAAATATGATACATTGGTATTAACCAGATAAAAAGACCGTGCAGAAAGAAAATAAAGGTCTTCTATCAAGAGTTAAAACTCTGAAAGGATCAGATTTAGTATAATCTACTAAGTTTAAGAGCTATTTTATATAAAAAAGTAAGAACAGCAATAAATCTTTCAGGAAAGTACTGTATTTCTTGTAAAACTGTTTTGCTGTTTTCACAAGCAATAAAGAAGTTAAATTCTTGCTATCAGTTGAAAAATCAACTGATATATGTCTAAGGAGGCACAAGAGATACCAATGATAAATCTTCTGTTACATAGCCACGAGCAATTTTTTCAAACTCTGAGTTACTGAAAACATATAAAGAGGGGAAAAAAATAAGGAGAGTTAGGCTAATACTCTATAAATATTTCCAAATAAACCCAATGAATTCACATAAAAATCTTGAAACTAATGGTCTTTAATGGTTACAGGTATGAAAAGGAGGTTTCTAAGAAATTAATAAATTAGACTGTGTTATTAAGAGTAAGAACTGCTCTGTGATATGACAGCAGTCTATGTAAGTAGGCAAGTCTGAACTAGACATTAAAGAGCTCAGTGGAATACACAAAATTGTCAGCAAAGGAAGAACCAAAACACAGTATTGAGCAGCAACCTCAAAAAAAAAAAAAATTACACCCAATAGAAATTTTCGATCTCCTTACTGCTTCAGAACAGTGTGATACTAGAATTCTCCACAGGTTGAAAACAGAATTGCAAAAATTCACAGAATGGAAATCTAGTACAGCTTTACAGAAGCAACAACTCCATCTGAAGTAATCTTGAGTTTCAAATCAGGAAGTCTCACAGTATGTATAAAGTATTTCCATCCATTTGCACCATTACTCATCTCTAAGCAAC